TTTTTTTGTATTTCTGGTAAATATGGAGCTTTAATCTGTATAGGATTAACGTACTTGATGAGTACGTCTGCTTAAGGAGTGCCTGAGGAAATTTCCCAGCTGTGTATTTATTTACCAAATAGTATCCATTAGAATGTTTTACGATTTCTCAGCCCTATGCTGTAATTTTTACTTGGTTATATTATTTCAGGGACAAGTGTTACTCTCTATCAATGTATGTGTAAGATGTTACTAGTTCATTGATTTTTTGACCTTATGGTACTATGGATGCTGTTGGAAAATTTTGAAAAAGATGGATTTCTACGAAATTGATAATGATTGTTTAGTCGCTAATATTTCACTTCAGGATTATTGTAAAATAACAGCGCGGAGGGCTCAAGCTTATTGCGCACTTATATTTTTGGTTAGTTTTCTGTTAATATTCTTTAAAAAAGCGTAAAAAATTATGTTCGATGACCAGTTGATTGAAGATATTCTCATTTCAAAATTTCTTATGGTAAGGGAAGATCAATTTTATTTCATTCTTCGTTTCCACCGAATGTGATCTGAACTATTTTTTTCAATTGAGCTGAAATTCACTTCAGAAAGTAGTCATTTTTAAATTATTGCGTTAATTTTTTTATTTACGGAACAAGACGATAAGTCATTTTTTCCCTAGTTTCTGTTAACTGCAGCTTTTCCTGAAAACACTGCTTAAAAATTTTTCGAGGGTTTTATTTGCTAGAATAGTTGTGATGTTTGCGTATAAAATGACTAGAAAAATTAGTCGTTTGAATTTGCTGGCTTTATATAAATTTGAAAATACAGGAGTCTTTACCATGTCTACCGGATATCGGTTTGTCGTTACTTCCTGCTGAGGAACTTATCAGAAATCAGATTGGATTTCACAGGGCTGTTGCTTATTGTTCATGGGAGGAACTAATGATTGGTTGGAGAAAGTGCGAAATTAAAAAAGGTTTGTATGGGCTGTTTCGTTTCTTTTATTTTTAAATTTGAGTGTTAAATCTGTTTGGTGCTATTGTTTTCAAGTAAAGAGTAGTCGACTATAATTTCTCATTTTTAAGAACAAGTGAGAAAATTTTTAAATAGAAGTTTGTAGCAAGGATAATGTGGAATCCTTGTGTAGCTTAATCGTTCTCCATTTGTGAAACTGGCTAATTTTTTTCTATTTTTTGGTTGACGTGACTAAAAGCAACTTACGGGGTTTTTTCTTTGAGCGGAGAGACAGTGTTTTTGACGACCGAATAGCCTAACCAGTGGTTTAAATATCAGAACTTGAAAGATTTTTTTATACATGAAGATTAGATATGATAACGACGAACGACGAAATGAATGGATAAAATTTAGAGATTAAAGGGTAGTTTGCTTATTTCCGTTTCTGAGCAATCAGTTTACATACCACAAAAGCAGAGGTAAATGATAAATTGAAGTTTTTTACATTTTTATCTACTTTAGTAACATTTATTGTCTAAATTACTTTTTCTTTTAGAACTGTAGATGCAATGTCAAGTTCTCGCATTTTCAAGCTTGTTCCTTTTAATGCTTTTGTTAGGTGGACTGTAGATCTTTAAAATTTTTATAGCGTTTTTTTATATTTAGTAGCGCTTCAGGTAAATACTAGTTAAAAAAAAATAAAAAGTTTCTCTAAAGATGTTTCTTTGCTTTTTTTTTTTCAAGCAAAAATTTTGCTGTTATCCTAAATCACTAATATCAGAATTCCCCTCTTTTGTCGCCTTGTTCGACTATACGCATTTTTGGTCTTATCAAGCTGATGGTCAAAACTACAGAAATATTCCATTAATTATTTAATTTGTGCTGAAATGAGGAGGAACTTCGTGGTCCCTACTGTGTACTTTTTTCTGTCCTTTCAACACATTTCAAACTTCCACTTTTCTTGCTTTTCATGTCTAAAACTACGTGTGGGTTGTAGCGGAGGAGACCTCCTCACTAGGACGGAGGGGAAGGTTTAAAAATAGAATGCCATGTAAGGTTTGTCTTCATCTGGAAAAGCATGAGAAGATTTATTAAAAAAAGAATAACTAGGGGACCGTTGAAAAGTACTATCGTATATTTTTATATAGGTAAAATTTGTATTTGCAACAACTCATCTTCATGGAGGCTGTTCTTTTTCAAAGTATTATAATTTGTTCTTTTGCTAGTTATATTTTTAAAATACGTGTGGAGTTGAACAATTTTTTAAATGATTTTCTTTTTTAAAGACTGTTGCGCGTTGCTGACATTGAAATTTGAGCCAGAGCGTATTGGGATGCGTATTCAGTTTGATTTTGACTCTTCCCTACAATTCTGCTATTATACGTATCCGCCTGGTTACTCGAGAGCGTACCTAGCACTTTTTGGGTTTGGCCTGTTGTACAATGAGGTATTTAATCTGTTTAGTTTTGTGGTACGTTCAAATCATTTATTGCGGATTTTCCACGTAAAGGAGTTTATTAGTATTATATTTGAAGGTTGACAGTTCCTTTCGTAGGGTTTTAGTCTTGCTGGATTGAAAAACTTTTTATCATTCTTTCCGGCTATCTTGGTGACCAAAAGTGACTAGTTTAAAAAATTTAAAAAACTGTTTCATGGAATTAAATGGTTCTAAATTTATTTAGAAGAGTTTATTTTTTACTTTTAAATCCTGTGAGGAATTCTGATTTTTTTTTTCTCGATTTACAGGAACGAAACGGAATTTTCATTTAAGACTTAGATTGGGGAGTACTAAACCGCCACCACTTCATAAAATCAAAAGTGATAGTTGTCATACCTGATTATCTGCCACGAAAAAATGCAGAAGTTCAGGGCACAGTTTTACGTAAGTAGTGATGATCAAAATTGTAAAAGCAAACAAAGCATTCACAGCAAATTGAACTTTTAATTTTCTTTTTTCGGTATTGGAAAATGGGTATTAATGCGATTTACAGACAGTTCTAGACAGGTTTTAATCTATGTAGCAAGAAGTGTTACCTTCTTGTACTCGAAAAACATGTATATCGCTGAAAAAAAAATCAGGATTTGCGGTCTTTTGGGGGTAAAAAATTGAGAATGAAGAAAAGCATACGATTAACTAATAGTATTTCTATGATTCTAGCTTTTTAACAAGTTTTTTCCTTTATTGATAAATGTGAAACAGTTGCGTATAATGTACACAAGCTTTTTTGACGTTAATGATTGGATATACTTCAAAAATTCTGTTAATAAACCGTATCAGTTTAAAAGCTACAGTTGTGTACTTCCACTTTTGACTGTGGGCTCCTTTTTTGCAGAATAAATGCCCTATCGCCCTTCTCGACGGTGTACAGTTTGAAAAATACATCAGTTTCAAGAAGTCTAATCATATTTTTGATACATTCTCTTTGAACAGCCAAAATTTGGTAAATGGGGATTTATCAACAAACAGTGACAGTTTTGCAGGTACCGGCATAACATATGATACTGATAAAAAATCGCAAGCAATTGGACGTCTCTTTTAATTGAAATCTTAGTACTTCAGAAATATTTTTTTATGGTCAATTTTTAGACTGGAGGAGCAAATTACCTGAGCAACGCCAGAATAGGAGAGGTCTGCCCCCTGTTGCGGCTACTAGTTTTGCAGATCCTGTTCAGCACAGCAGAATCCAGGAAAAAGCAGAGCCGAAAAAGCCTTTGATTTTCACACAGGATCTGTTGGAGGAAGAGAATGCCAGTAGCAGGCTTCCAGAGAAGAATGTTTCTGGAAGGTCGACACTGAAATCACTAAGCCCTGAAGGTGTAAAAAAGAGTGTGGAGTATACTGATGACGAAGATGATGTTCCAGAGAAGAATGTTTTTGGAAGGTTGACACTGAAATCACCAAGCCCTGAAGGTGTAAAAAAAAAGACTGTGGAGTATACTGATGACGAAGATGATGTTCCAGAGAAGAATGTTTCTGGAAGGTCGACACTGAAATCACTAAGCCCTGAAGGTGTAAAAAAGAGTGTGGAGTATACTGATGACGAAGATGATGTTCCAGAGAAGAATGTTTCTGGAAGGTCGACACTGAAATCACTAAGCCCTGAAGGTGTAAAAAAAAAGAGTGTGGAGTATACTGATGACGAAGATGAAGATGAAGAGGACGGAGAAGAGGAAGGGGAAGGAGATAAAAAAAAGGATGAAGAAAGTGCCCAGAAATCAGAAGAACCAGCCTCTTTGGGGGTATTCAGATTATTTAGATCTTAAATTTTCAAGGTTCAGCTTTTTTATCGAGTTTGAATGACTCGATTATATTTTAAGAGTGCTCCTCGATACAATTTTTTGCAGCTGTAGGTCTTGAAATTAAAAGTTTTCTTATGTGACAGCACTCACTTGTGAACTATTTGATCTCAATTTAGTGATTATTTAAAGGACTCTCTCTAGGAGCAATAAACAGCATTGTTTTTACATTTTTTTTTTCTGCTTCGTACTTCCTATGTCATTCCTCGTTATCGGTCCTCAGGATTTGGTTCTAATTTTTTTGTACAACTATACGGGGAAGATTAGAGATGTTAAAAAGTTTAGGTATAAGGAAGGTTTTGACAAGATTTTAAGTTTTAAATGAATCATAAAGTGTTTGAAATGAAGGTTTGTTGGTAGGAATAAATTTTGCTTAATCCGAGTTTAGATTTTCAGTGAAAAATGTAGAATGCGTCGTCAAAAAAGGACGCTGTTTTTGAATTAAGATTTAAAGAAACTGTGGAATAAAAAACGAAATAGATTTTGCTCGAACTTTCCTTCTTCTATACTCTTGTATGCTCTGTAGTTCGTTCGGCAATTGGATGAAGCGTGTTTTTAATTTTTTTTTTT